TTTTTTTTTTTTTTTTTTTTTTTTTTTTTTTTTTTTTTTTTTTTTTTTTTTTCAACGACTAGTCTTTGCGCGTCTTGGCTATGCTAAACGTTTTTGTTTGGCGAGCCTTTGCCGTTTGCGTGGTAAGCTGTCAAAGCTTGGCGAATATATTTATTGTTTCGGATGATTGACTGGTGACGAGTCCTTGAATGTACATTGTGTGGAAGTTGAGCGGCGCGATGATCTTGAAGATGTTTGGGAAAAATCGAGTGAAAAGACGAGAGAAGACACGTATATTTACAGAAACAAGCTGAATTGTACTTGTTGATTGACTTGTAATCGGTGAGGGAGATAATTTGTTGCTGTTGTTGCTGCTGACTGATCTTTAGATGCGAATCATCGAAGCTCTGCTTTTACAGGGTGACGCTTTAAAAATAGTTTTTTTTTTTATCATGTTTGTGAGTATCGCTGAACTGCTTGCTCGGTCGGAAAAAAAAGCGGATTAATATTATAAATCACTCCAAGTACCAATAAAGTTCTGAAATTCCAACAAAGATTTTTAATATTTCTGTTTAATTATACTTTTCAAGTGCTTTGGACTTTAATTTTTTAAAAAAAGGTTTACAGTTGGTCGTACGAGCGTTTTAAAGATAACCGGATTAAAGCGCTTACAACATGTGAGAGAATTTTCTAAACGCCGGTGCGTACAGCTACGAAACACATTAATTTACAGTAGTTATACATTTTACCGGTTAAAACTGGTTGATGTAATCTATGTAGTCATAGTGCACTGCTATCCGAAATGAAAATGTATATACTTTTTTCATTTCAAAGTTATTTAAATACATAATTCGTACGCTGATAACATACTTAAGCTTTGACACTAATTTTTTTAAGGTATCTTTGTACTGGGGTGTCTCTGACACGTGTGTTTGATGACGACTCGGTTTCGTCATTTAGAATCCAAAATTTTGTTGACTTTGTTATTTAACAGTAGCACCTTCCACGTCGAATGTCACGCGAAATGGTGAGGCAATTATATACGCATTAATTTATAGATATTTGCCATTAAAAAGTAATTAATTGCCTACACGCCGTTTCTCATCGGCAAATTTTAGTTGTTTTTTTCCTCGATATTGTTTTTAACGCGTCGTGCACGCGATGTAAATTCATCAATGAAATTGAACAAACAGATGTAAAAAAAAAAAAAATTCATG